AGTTAAAGCAAAAGAATAAACGTGCTCCTGGTTTCCGATCACTTTTCATAACATCTTTATTGAATCTGTGTCTCAGTTTTAAACATATTTACAGATAGTTTCATTTCATTTTTTCGTTTTTTAGTTCAGTAAAAATACAAATACAGAACACTCAGTTTTCAAAATCAGCGCCGCTCCCAGCGACTTGATGGCCGTGCAGGTTTCAACTCGGGCTTCCTCCTCGTGACATGTAGGCGGTGATGATGTCAGTGTGACGTCAGAGACTGCGCTGTAACTACGGACTCTTAATGGACACGATTGTTGAATGAAGGAAAATAACACAGAGGAAATAAAACGCAGGAGGAATGAAACAGTCTGACTACGACCTGATCAACACAGGAATGCTCTGAGAGCCTCTCTGAAATTTTAAAGGGGGAAAAAAAACACCATGGCTGAAATTTTGCTGCATAAATAAAATAAACCAGAATAAAAGTTACCAACATTTCTACTTCTGTGTTACATTTTGTCCAAAAACAAACAAATACAATTTTCTTCGATCAAACATGAGCAGCGTTACGAAGAAGATCGGCTACGACTGTCTGACATCACATTAATGTAATCCCCGTTGTCTGCTTCCACTCCCAGTGTTGGAGTTAGTGATGCTAATCGACTCCTTCAGCCGACATCCGTCTGTGTTTGTGCTGTAAAAGCAGCAGGAGCTGTTGGTTAGCAGTCCCGCATCACACAGTATGGCTTTACTGACAGACGACCAGCAGATCTAGTCTGCAAATCCTACTTTCATAAAAGGAAATGTTTGTTTCTTACATTTTGACGAGAGGAGGACAGAGAGGAATACGCAAAGCTGTCACAGCATTTAATAAATGTGGCTCTTTTTGTGCTGTTATCTTTGTGTCCCAGCAGTTCAGGGTGATTTCTGTAAGAATCTCCATAATGTGTGTGCAATTACAAAACCTACTGACCTACTACAAAACACAAGACGAAAGCATAAATGCAAAACATGAAGAGCTCCTGGCTAACACAAAATGACGTGTTAGCCAGTGTTTCCTGTTTCTGTATGGTGCTTGGCTTGTCTTGTTGGTATGTTATGTCTGATGTTTATGTAAAGACTTAGAGCAGGGGAGTCAAACATAAGGCCCAGGGACCAGAATCACACCAACAAAGACTCCAGTCTGGCCTGCTGGACTGCTTTGGAAAATGGCAGACATACATTTTGGACTTTTAACTATATTTTCACAAGTTTCACACCTTTTCCTGCTGACATTCCTACATGGCCATTCATACAACACCAAAGTAATTAAGTAATAGATAAACAATTAAATGACAGAATGTTTTCTTTCACTTGAGTCTACAGTAAAAGAATTTTGTGTCGTTCATTTCTTAGGTTTCCTTCGTTTACTACAGCTGCACTTTTTACCATGTAGATCAATGACAAACTTTCGTGAGTGAACGTCCTTTCTTATATTAAGATATCTCTGGGATTAAATGTGCAGGTAAACGCCTTTACACTGACTGAGTCCAGCCCACTTAAGATCACAGTGGGCCACATGCAGCCCACGATGTAAAATGAGTTTGACATCCCTGCTTTAAAGCATCTAAACAAATCTGTGATGTTTAATACTGCTGTTGTCTTTAAGACGCTCCGCAAATGAACCAAAGCAGGAGCGGTATCTGGTTCTTGCGTGTCGGATAATCGCTTGCACTAACATTGCTATGATATGAGACAAGCTGGCTCACATGTCTGCTGCCCTTTGGGACTTTTTAATGAGTCAGAGAACGGCCCTTAAAAGCAGCAGATCACATCAAACGTTTAAACCTTTTAGTCAGATTCACATGGGAGAACTGTATCATTCTTTTTTTCCCAACATACCATTTTATTTATTTTTTATTATTTTGCAGACTGCATTACATTATCTGAGCAACCCGAGCAGTAAATCCATCACGCTGCATTAGATGTACCACGAGGAGCTGTGTTAAGAGTGATAACTGGAGGCACTGCTGTGCTGCTAACGGAGCTGCACAAACTTCCATAAACAAGGTCAAGATCTTGACGCGAGTCAGAGTACGGAACGAGCCCTGCTGTGACTTTCAAACCTCAGAGAAAAATGGCTCTGAAATCTGGGCAAAAGATGTGCATCTGGAATCAAACGCATCCCTTTACTGGAACTTCAGACTTGTCCCTGACCTCAGGCAGCACTTACAAGTTTAACTCTGATAAAGTAACACAATTGCAGCTACATACAGAAAGTATTATGATCTAATATTAACTGAATAGCTTATTGTGTATGTAGTGTAACAACTCAAGTGGAACATGTTTGATTCCTTAAAAATGTATGTTTTTAAGAGTCCGACCAAAACATGTGCTTTAAGTATGAAACTGAAGCAAAGATTTGCATCCGACTTATGAGGTGGGGTGGGTGTAGATATAGGATGCCAGCAGGAGACCATAAGGTATTCTAAATTTATTCACCCTTCTCAGTGCCACTCCTCTACCAACCTCTTCTTCATAGTCTTCCCATTAAAAATGCAAATAAATGATTTTCACCAGGTTTCATATTAACCACAAAACAAACATTCTTATACATAAAGCATGGTTACCCCATCACAAAACGTAAGGGCCTGAACATAATGTGCCTGATTGATGAAAAGCTGGAAAATAAGATGAGACAAAGGTTTATAGAAGCTGTGAGATGATGGGGGAAAATGTGAAGGACAGAGATTTAAAGAAAAGAAAAAGCAGCATCGAATCCTATAGCAGCAGAATGTTTTTTTTTAAGGAGGGGAAAGCTGTGGCTGTGTCTCTAAATGGAAGAGGATCAGGACACATGTGGAGTGGTGAGAAAAGGGGAGGCCTGCTGTAGTCCCTGTCTAATTACTCTTCCACTTATGATGGCCATTTTTTCTGAAAACCGAGGATCAGAGGAGGCAGTGACCACTGCCACAAACTGCCCTCGCTTTGATGATGTGCCCATCTGCTAGCAGTTCCAGGTTGAAGTTCATCCGATGGAGGTTAAACAGGAAGTGGATTTGGGTGGTAGAAGCTGAGGGCTGTGATTCAACCCTGTGTCCCCAATATTGATTTGTCCAAAAGGAAAAGAAAGAAAAAAGAAGGTTGTGTTAACAGACCCTGTAAAGTCCTGAAGTCTGTCTGCTTGGAAACAAAACAAAACAAAACAAAACATGACACTTTCATCAGTTTAAGTGTCAAAGTGTTTTTGTAATCCTTCATAGTCAGCTGTCAGTGTGTCAGCTTGAGTCTGCATTGGAGTTTCTTCAAATAAAGACTAAAAGTGATAACAAAAAAAAGCTAATCACGCCTCTGGTTTGGAGCTCTGTCCTTCAGTAAAAAGAGTCGATTCAAGCCAAACACGAGGCTGAGCAGCACACCCACCATCCTTAAGATTCGAGCAGAGAAGACAGATCGACAGAGTCAAAGAGTAAAACATAGAAGTAGAGCGAGTAAAGTAACAGGTCCTCTCGCTCTGTAGTGGTCTCTCCCCACCCCCCCGGTTGATGGTCTCAGTTAGAAATCAGTCGAGAGTCTGAATTGTATGTTTGTCTGGTGTTCGTGGGTGGGTTTTTCTGGGTAGGCAGGCAAACAGGCCCCTGGTGCCGTGGTGCACATAAAAAGTGCCAGCCTGTTTACCGCTGAGCAGGCTCGCTGCCGGGCAGGGTGATGTTTCCCAGGTGGAGGACTGGCAGTGGGTGAGCCTCCGTGTTGAAAACCCAGTTCTCCAAGGGCAACAGGTCATCGCTGGAGAACAGCAGGTACAGATACCTGAGAGAGATGATGCGGGTAAGGGGAAGGACGTGTGAGGTGTGGTGGGTAACGGGGTGAGGAAGAAGAAAGAATGGAATGAGTTAGGTGAATATAATGTCAACAGCTTCATCATATCAAAGTGGGAAGTGTCAGCTTAAACCAACAATTTAAATCCTAAATCTCTGTTTAATTTAGTGTTTTTACAGCTGTTGATTCACATCTGTTGTCATGGTCAGACAAAAAACAGCCACAAAACCAAAACAATTATTATGATTATCACACCCAAACTGCCCAAACTGCTCCACATGTTGCAGGAGAAAACTGAATAAATACACAGAACAACTCTATACGCAGTATAAAGAGTTTACTGCAGGAGGCTGAGAACTCGTCCTAAACACAGTTTACACCGTGAATGAGAAGCTCTGAATTTCATTAACATCTAAGATTAATTAAATTCTCATCTAATTTTTTTTAAAGATTTCAACTTGCTTGTTCACTTTTTAGCTCCTAAATTCTTAACATAAACTCAGACGCTGGATATGTGTGACGATCAGCGTGACTGGCAGCCAATCAGCAGCCTTAGCTGACACTTAGCTGCTGTATTGCTTTGACGCGACTGGCTTGAAGCCAGCAGAGACAAAGATTGAGAAGAGACAGACACCAAAGTCTGCATAACACTGAGCCATTCAAATGTCATCCTCTCAGAGAGTTAGCAGACAGTGTGGCGTGCGACCTTTAACGACTTCTATACCAAAGACGGATTTTATTGGCATCTGATGCTTTGTGGGTGTTAATTTTAAACCTGTTATACTTGCAAATGAAGAGCTGATAAATAGCTTCGTGTAAACACGAGAGCTGACAGGACCGGCAGTAAAACTGAGCTTGCTTTGTTTTATGATTTTCTTTGGCCTGTCAGGCTGTCCGAATGAATTGTAATTCACAACTGAATTACATCAGGTTATAAATACTGAACATTGTCAGGAGGAGATGGCATTCAAAGAGCAGCCAGCAGAGGGAACCAGAGAGCTACATCAGTATTCAGTTCTCCCACTGCGTACGAGCCTTCAGTGAGAGCCTCTTCTCCCTTCATCCATCAGTGACCACGCTGTGCCACAGAGCCATGGCAGCTTCCCTTCACGTTAGCTGACTTTATTTATTTGTATGGCTGTAAAAATATCCTGATACCTGTTCACTGTCCCCAGAGAAAAGAAATCACAACAATAACCTGGTGAAATGACAGGTTCTTTGTGTACGAGCAAAACAAACAAACAAAAAAAGCGAGTCTCTCTTGTCCATACTATAGACAGTAAACAAAAGTCGGATGAAGCCTCTGAGTCTGAAAAGTGAAGCCAGCTAATTAGTGCCTTTAACCTGCATAAATACCTGTAGCTGCAAAAAGACGTCTGTCTATGGGAAGGTGTCCGTTTGCCTGGACCTCTGTAAACACTTTGCTGTTGAGTTCATGCCCTCAGTGGTCACTCTGCAGTGCATTTGGAAAGCATTCACAGCGCCTCACTTGCTGCACATTTTCTCATGTTACAGCCTCACGCCAAAATTCATTTTTCACCTCAAAATTCTACACAAATCCCCATTATTGAGAAGATGAAAAAAAGTTTGCTTGAATATCTTTTAAATGTATTAAAAATAAAAAACAATTAAATAACATTTACATGAGTATTCACAGAATTGGCAACAAAACTCAAAATTGAGCACAGGTGTATCGGGTGTTTCTACAAATTGACTGGAGTCCACCTGTGGTAAATTCTGTTGAGTGGACGTTGTTTGGAAAAGCACACACCTGTCTATATAAGGTCCGACAGCTAAAGGTGCATATCAGAGCACAAACCAAGGAATTGTCTGTAGACCTCTGAGACAGGATTGTATTGAGGTACAGATCTGAGGAAGGGTACAGAAAGGTCCCAGTGAGCACAGCGGCCTCCATCATCTGTAAGTGGAAGAAGCACCAGGACTCTTCCTAGAGCTGGCTGCCTGACTAACCTGAGCCATCAGGGTAGATGGGCCTTAGTCAGGGAGCTGACCAATAACCTGATGGTTTCTCTAACAAAGCTCCAGCATTTTTCTGTGAAGTGAGGAGAACCTTCCAGAAGGACAGTCATTTCTGGGGACTACACCAATCAGTCCTGCATGGTAGAGTGGCCAGACAGAAGCCACTCCTCAGTAAAAGCCACATGACAGCCCCCCCTGGAGTTTGCCAAAAGTCACTTGAAAGATTCAGACCACGAGAAACAAAATCGTTTGGTCTGAGGAAACAAAGATCAAACGCTCATCAGTGCCCATCACCTGGCCAATACCATCCCTACAGTGAAGCATGGTGGTGGCAGCATCATGCTGGGATGTTTTTCAGCAGCAGGAACTGAGAGATTAGTTGAAGTCGAGGGAAAGATGAGTGCAAACAAATCCTTGATGATAACCTGCTCTAGAGCGCTCTGACTGGGGCAAAGGTTCATCTTCCAACAGGACAATGACCGTAAGCACACAGACAAGATAACAAAGGAGTGGCATCAGGAGCACTC